GTAGAGGTGTTGTAATTTCCTTTGTATTTTAGAAATGAGTCCCTTGTCTGATGTGTCATTGAAAAAGATTTTTTTCCTATTGTGTGGGTTCCCTTTTTACTCTTCTGGCGAAGTCTTTTGATGCACAAAAGTTAAAAATTTTTAGTATTTCCCAATCATCTATTTTGTCTACTTTTGTTTGTGTCGTTTTCAAAATGTTTGCTAGTCTATGTATTCCCTGAATTAGAGCCCTCACATTTGTCCTTATTTTTTCATTGATAGCCTTCATAATTTTGGGATTCACATTTATATCTTTAAACCATGCTGAGTTGGTTTTTGTATAAGGCGTGAAGGTAAAGGTCTTGTTTCAATCTTTTGCGTATCACTTTCCAGTTCTGCCAGCACCATCTGTTGAAGAGACTATCACCTCCCCATGTGATATATTTAGGTGCTTTGTAAAAAAATCAGTTGGCTGTATGTGGATGGATTAATTTCTGGATTCTCGATTCTGTTCCATTGTCTTTCATTATATCAGTGCCAAGCTGTTATGACCACAGTAGCTATGTAATAATTTTTAAAGTTAGGGAGTATAATAATTTTAAAAGTCGGGTTTCCAACCGTATTCTTCTTAAGCAGTGCTTTGTTTATCCTGAGTCTCTTTCCTTTCCATATAAAGTTTGTAATTGTTTTTTCCATCTCTTTGAAGAATGTTGTTGGAATCTAGATTGGGACTGCATTATATGTGTAAATTGCTTTGGGCAATATTGACATTTTCACAATGTTAAGTCTTCCTATACAAGAGCCTGGTACATTCTTCCATTTTTGTAGGTCTTTTTTGGTTTCTTGTAGTAGTGTTTTGTAGTTTTGTTTGTATAGGTCCTTTGTTTCTCTGGTTACATTTATTCCTAGATAGTTCATCCTTTGGGCAGCCATTATAAATGTTATTGCTTTCATAATGTTCTTTTCAGTGCTGTAGTTTTTGGTATAGAGGAATGCAACTGATTTTTGTATGTTGATCTTATATCCTGCCACTCTGCTGAATCTTCCAATGAGGTCTAGTACCTTTTTTACTGAGTCTTTGGGGTTTTCTATGTATAGGATCATATTGTCTGCAAATAGAGAGAGTTTTACTTCCTCTGTGCTATTTTGGATACCTTTAATTTCCTTGTCTTGTCGTATAGCTCTTGCTAAGACTTCAAGCACAATATTGAAAAGGAGTAGTGACAAAGGCATCCTTGTCTGGTTCCTGTTCGCAGAGGGAAGACCTTTAGTTTCTTTCCATTGAGAGTATTGTAGGCTGTTGGTTTTTTATATATGCTCTTAATTATGTTGAGGAATTTCCCTCTAATTCCTACTTTGTTGAGTGTTTTTATCAGGAATGGATATTGGATTTTGTCAAATGCCTTTTCTGCATCAATATATATGATCATGTGGTTCTTTTCTTTTCTTTTTTTTCCTCTTATTTATATGGTGGATTATGTTCTTTTTCTAATGTTGGACCATCCTTGAATTCCTTATATAAATCCCACTTGATCATGTTGTATTATCTTTTTGATGTGCTGCTGCATTCTGTTGGCTAGGATTTTGTTGAGAATTTTTGCATCTATGTTCATGAGGGATATTGGTCTGGAATTTTCTTTCTTAATGACATCTTTCCCAGGTTTTGGTATAAGGGTTATGCTTGCTTCATAAAATATATTACAAAGTTTTCCATCCTCCTCTATAGTCTGGAAAAACTGGAGTAGAATTGGTGAGAGATCCTTCCCTGAATGTTTAAATAACTCACCACTGAAGGTATCTTGCTCTGGACATTTTTTGGTTGGGAGTTTTTTGATGACCTATCAATTTCTTCTTTTGTTATGTGTCTGTTCAGGTTTTCTACTTCACTGTAAGTTTAGGTAGGTCATGTTTTTCTAAAAAAGTATCAATCTTTTCTAAGTTTTCAAATTTGTTTTAGCACAACTTTTCATAGTATTCTGTTATTATCCTTTTGATATCCTTTTGTTTTGTTGTGACATCATGCATGTGGTTTCTAATGTGTGTTATTTGTGTCTTCTCCCTCTTTTCTTTTGTTAGGTTTGCCAATGGTGTGTCAATTTTGTGAATCCTTTCAAAGAAGCAGCTTCTTGTCCTATTGATTCTTTCTATAGTTTTTCTGTTTTCTATCTCATTTATTTCTGCTCTAATCTTTATTATTTCTTTTCTTTTGGTGGCTGTTGGTTCCCTCTGTTGGTCTGATCATTCAGCTTCTTGAATGTGTATCTTCTTGTCTTTAATGATGTTATGGAAATTTTCTTCCAACAGCTCTTAGGCCATCATTTCTGTGCTTTAATTTGTTTATTTTTATTTGGAATTCCAATCACCTGTATGTTAGAGTCTACTCCTTTGCCGTTTCAGTGTACTGTGGATATCTGAAATCTTAGTCTTAATCATCTGAATTTCTATTTACAGGTTTTGTATTGTATTCAATACTTTATGTTGTTTCATTGTTCCTGTAGTTTGTTCTGGATTCTTCCTTTCCCCCCCTCAATATTTCTGTCAAACATTTATAGGTATATAAATATCATCCTCTTGAATTCTTTTTCCTTCAAAAACATTTTCTAGCTCTATCACTTGTTTGTTCCACTGTATGTTTTTACTTCGTATGAACAGAAATTTTGTGCTGTTTTTCAAGACATTGTGGTATTGTTGTATTTTTATTATGTTGACGATTGTATGCTGGTGTATCCTTAGATATTCACCAATTACATCCTGGTGGGTATGATTAGAAGATGGAAGTTTGTGAGCTACTCTATGTTCATTGTGCAGCTCAGTTTAGGCTGGGTTTGGCTGATGTTGGTTGTTGTCATTGATCTGGTGTATAGCAACTGGTATTGGCTTTTGCCCTGTGGGTGGGGCTCTAGAGTGTACATTTGTGACTGAGCCATTTGAGCATAACTGCTTTCCCCTACTGGGTGATGCAAGAAGACAAAACACACATGCAAGAGAAAAGGAAAACAAACAAACAATGAAAAAAAAAAAAAAACAAACCACCTCTAAGAGAGTGCAAACAGGCAATACCTAGAAAAAGAATATAAAAAACCAAAAGAAAAAAGTGTGAAAGGAAAATAAAAAAAGAAAAATAAGAGAGAAAAGAAAAGAACTGAACATAATTAGGGAGAGGAATGAGTAAAAGGGAAAGGGACTGCAAAATAGTTTAAAAAACAAAGGGAGAAAATAAAATAAAAGAAAGATGTAGCAGTGATTCAGAAAGAGAAGCAGAAAAAAGGAAGAGAAAATGGAAGTAGAGATAGAAAACAAGGGAGAGTAAAGAGAAGAAGAACGGCAAGAAAGAATAAACAAAAACCAAGAAAGGTAAAAACCATGAAAGTTGCCAGACACAGAGAAGAGCAAATTGTAGTTTTTTCTGCCAGCCAAGGACCTCATGTCATGGGTGGACAAGGGATGAAGTGGTACCTCTCAACCCTAGATGGAGTTCCTGTAGGGCTAGGTGTTTTCTGCCTCGTGTGTCATCTTGCTGTCTCTCTCTTTGCATTTCAAATTGTGCTTGATTGCATAGTAAGGGTCCTAAAGGTTTGCTTGGTTCTGCTGCTATTCATAAGGTTTCCAGTGGCTAATGCTATGAGGTGGAACTGACTCGACAAGGCACTCGATGGCACTTAACAACAACAACCATTCAGAAGTAGTCTGTGTTTCTTTCTTCCTATTCTGTCCTGATCTTGGAGCTCTGCTGAAACCTGAGCACCCTGGGAACTTTGCTGGTATTTAAAATACCAGTGCCATAGCTTCCAGCATCACGGCAACACAAGAGTCACCACAGTATGACCAACTAGACACCTGACCCTGAAATTTTTCAGTAATGACATGTTATGTTCTTCTTGATGTCTCCCTATACTCTCCCCTCAGCCCATTACAAAGAGATTATCCTTTACACTATATGCTTTCAAGGGTTAAGAACAACTCTGCAATGTGCCCACAGTGTCCCAACTGGTAGGTAGATCAATAAGCCTATGCAGATGATCAGATCTGAAAAAAAAAAAACACCCATCCCCAAACCAAAAAAACAAAAAAACAAAAACAAAACAGGTTTACACAAGCAACACAGCAATAACCCAAGTTTCTGAGAAAAAGGAAAAGTATTCTTGAGCTTAATTTCCAAATCAGTAGACATAATCCCAGATCAGCAAAGTGATGTGATGTGAGCCCCAGGGGGATTCTGTTTGGAACTTGTCGTTTCCAAGATGGTTTCAACTACAAGTTCTGACTTAGGAGTTACATCAGTGTTTGGTCCAAAGGGGCCAAAAACTAGGTATTCTTGTCTCTAATGAGGCTCTCAGGGAATCTGGCTCCAATGGTCACTGAAACTTCTGTAAATACCTGCTCTGTGATTCCTCCAAACATCTTCCTGCACAGAGAGTTAAAACCATGAACCCCTACTGATTCTCATTTGTTTAGGACCTGCCTATATTATCAAAACTATCTAATACCCACCATAGAAAGAATCATTGAGCAATCATAGAGAGGTGAAGAACACATGCTAACGACAGAATCAACCTCCCCCAGGTAAGAGTACAGCAGAGGAGACTTTTTGATATTTGCTTATTAATGCATGAAGTTCTTCTAGGAACATCAACTGTTAAATCTTACAGATCTAGGGAGCAAAGACAGGAGTCTTGAATCCACTGGTGGGATCTTGAGATAAACCCAGTAATAACTTATTGTTTTTGTTGTCTTTTTATTAGCAACCAAGGCATGAAGAAATGTTAAAAGGGTCATGCACAATAACAGGGATAAGCTGAGTACTTCTGTGTATGTGCTACATGTTATGTTTTATAGTATCAAAAGGAAGATTCAAGTGGGATCAGTATCATCTAAGAAGGGATGGGGTAGGGACTGGGAGAAATTCTAACTGAGCAACCCTGAAAAAAAAAGACCAGAGCTGGAGCCTAACTTGTCCCATCTGAACCCTCAGTTCCTAGGTTTCTACTTTGTGTCTCTCATCTGCATCTAGAACTAGACACATGAGTAGATCAAACCAATCAAGTATCTCTGAATTCCTCCTCCTGTGGCTCTCCAGGCAGCCCCAGCACCAGCAACAACTCCTCTTTGTGCTCTTCCTGTGCATGTACCTGGCGTCAGTCCTGGGAAACCTGCTCATCATCCTGTCCATAAGTACAGACTCCCGCCTGCACACCCCCATGTACTTCTTCCTCAGCAACCTGTCCTTTGTGGACGTCTGTTTTTCCTCCACCACTGTCCCCAAGATGCTGACCAATCACATACTTGGGATTCAGTCCATCTCCTTTTCTGGGTGCATCACACAGCTATATTTTTTTGTTGTATTTGCGGTCATGGACAATTTGCTTCTGTCTGTGATGTCCTATGACCGCTTTGTGGCTGTGTGCCACCCCTTACACTACACAACAAAGATGACCCATCTGCTCTGTGCTCTGATGGTAGCTGGATCGTGGATCACTGCCAGTATGCATTCTTTATTGCATACCCTGATGATAGCTCGACTCTCGTTCTGTGCAAATAATGCAATCCCCCACTTCTTCTGTGATGTGACTCCTGTCCTGAGACTCTCCTGCTCTGACACACATCTTAGTGAGATGATGATTCTTACTGAGGGGGCTCTGATAATGATGGCCCCATTGGTTTGCATCCTGGTTTCCTACATTTGCATCACCTGTGCTGTGCTGCGAGTCCCATCCACAAAGGGAAAGTGGAAAGCCTTCTCCACCTGTGGCTCCCACCTGGCTGTGGTTTCCCTCTTCTATGGCACCATCATTGCTGTGTATTTCAACCCTTCATCCTCCCACTCAGCTGAGAAAGACACAGTAGCTACTGTGATGTACACAGTGGTGACCCCCATGCTGAACCCTTTCATCTACAGCCTGAGGAATAAGGACATGAAAGGGGCCCTAAGAAAAATGATTGGCAGGATGACAGGTCCTATGTGATGAAAGAATTATGAACTCTCAATCTATCAACAGGTATAGAAATCTTTGCCAATTTACTCTAATGTAACAACCTGTTTATTAATGTCTGTAAGGAACTTAGACAAAATATTTACAATAGATACCCACCAATGGACTCTGACTTATCTGCAACCTGGTTTATATTTATTTGGTTTTAATTCTGTATTATAAAATAGATGACATAGAGGATAAAGTTTAAATCATTTAAAAAGCTATGTTGTTGCTGCTGCTGCTAAGTACTATGGAGTTGGTTCCAACTTATAGTGACCTTGTATAGGGTTTTCAAGGAGTGGCTGGCAAGCTTGAACTGCCAACCTTACAGTTCAAACTGACCTTGCAGTCCAGCACATTTATCCACAGTGCCACACCAGGAGTCCTTAAAAGCTCTAGCTAGCCAATATATTCTCTTTTCACTTTTGGGAATGCTCACAATTTCAATCTAAACATGTTGTGTAGAGTCGATTCTGGTTCGTAGTGACCAAATGGGTCAAAGAGAACTGCCCCATAAAATTTGCAAGGCTGAAAATCTTTACTGAAGCTGATTGCCACATCTTTCTTCCAAGGCTCAATTGGTGGGTTCCTTCTGCCAACGTTTAGATATCAGTTAAGTGCTTAAACACTGCTACCAGAGTGTCTGTATCAACAACCCCACCCACTCCCATTGAGTCCATTCAGACTCACAGTGATCCTAGAAGACACAGAAGAACTTGTATTTAGGGTTTCTGAAATGGTAAATCTTTACAGGAGCAGATAGTCTCATCTTTCTCTCATGGAGCTACTGGGGGGTTTGAATCATCGATCTTAGAGTTAGCAGCCAAGTGCTTAACTGCTGTGGGTCCTTGAATCTACAACAGTGAAGTTAAATATTGGCCTCCTGTTAGTATCATCTGGGGAGATTTTAATACATACTGATGCTGGGCCAATCCTGGAACAATTGAATACAAATCTCTGAGTGGGACTCTGGCTTTGTTTTTCTTTCCTTCTTTTTGTTCACTGAGGATTCTAGTGTGCATTCTGATTTGACACTCATGCTGTTTGGAGTGGTTTTTTGTAATTGTTCTTAAGGGATTGAACATAGAAACTCTTAGAGGACATGATAGTCTTAAGTGGGAACTAACTATGAGGGGATAATTCTCTTGGAACTTTCTCTGGGCCAAAATGTTGTGCTATGATCAGTCCTTTGGCCATAATTCACATTCCTGTGCCTCTAACAGAATCATAAGAACACATCATCCTTTTTAGTGGGAGTATATTCAGCATGCTGTTATTGTTAAGTGCTGTCAGATCGTTCTGACTTGCAGTGACTCTGTACAGGGTTTCTGAAGAGCAGCTGGTGAGTTTGAACTGCTGACATTGCAGTTCACACTGACTTTGAGGTTGAGTGCTTATCCTATGGTACCACACTTCTTTCTTAGACCCCTGGGTGGCACAAATGAGTTAATTGCTTGACTACTAGCTGGAAGGCTGTCAGTTTGAACCCAGCCAGAGGTGCCTTGGAAGGCAGCTTGGCCATCTGCTTCTGAAAGGTCAGTCTTGAAAATCCACATGGAGCGGTTCAGTTCTCACACCTGGTGTTGCCCTGAGTCAGAACAGACTCAATGGTAACTAAAAACAATAACAACAATGCCTTTTTTCATTTAAGAAACTAGTAACCATGTGCTATTCCACCTCTCCAGGATGCCTTGCCTGTCCCCTTTCCCTACTCTTTAGCATACAAGTCAATGTCACCTCCTTTGTGAAGCCTTGACTGATTCCTCACTCTGACACTGTCATTCCCTCCCCAGATTCTCATAATAGAAACTCCATTTTCACTTACTACTCCTGGGTCATTGTCTAGTTGACCTCAGCTGCATCCTCAACCCTTCATCTAGAGACTTTGAACTCACACCCAATGTTCACTTAGTTTCTTGGTATGGATTGAATTGTGTCCCCCACCCCCAATCTGTGTTTTAGTCCTAAACTCCTATATCTATGAATATGCTCCCATTTGGGTATATGGCTTGATTTGCATTTTGTGGTTGGTTGTGTGTCATCGAGTTGGTCCCAACCCATAATGACCCCATATAGGGCTTCTAAGGTTGTAAATCTTTACAGAAGGAGAAAGTCTCATCTTTATCTCATGGAGCAGCTGGTGGATTCGAAATGATGACCTTGTGATTAGCTTTCCAATGTGTAATCTACCACTACACCAGAGTTTTAAGTCAATTACCATTGAGATATAAAAAGAGAAGATTAGGTACAGAGAAATCCAAGAAACCAACTACTTCTAAGTTGATTCTGACCCATAGGAGTCCTATAGAATAGAGTAGAACTGCCTCTTTGGGTTTCTGAGATTGTAAATCCATGAGCATACAGCCTCATGGAGTAGTTGGTGGGTTTGAAATTCTGACCTTGCTTTACACAGCCCAATTTGTAGCCCACTTTACCACAAGGGCTACTTAGGTAGTGAGAAGAAGAAAAAGATCCAGGTCACTGTGAAGACCAACAAGTAACTAAGGGAACAGAGGCTAGAAAGAGACAAGAACCCTCCCCTAGAGCTGACATGCAGAGAGCAAGTTTTTCTGTAGAGCTGGCATCCTGAATGTAGATATAGTCTCCCAACCTGTAAGAAAATAGATTTCTGTCCAGTAAACTCACCCAATTGTGGTATTTCTGTTACAGCAGCCCAAAAAAATGAAGACAGATTCTTTGTGAAAAGCTTAGCTCCTGACACAAAGTAATTAACCAGTCTGTTTTTTGGAGCAGTTAATAAAACATTTTCTGAACCTCCGATTTCCCAGATGTCATTGGATAAAAAGCTCCACAAATTATATTTTAGAAAGTATAATATTTGTACCCAATAAGAGATTTCAAAAAAATAAGATAATTTAACCTGTTACACTACTGTCAAAAGTTTAAGAAAATGATTTTCACCCAAACTTACCTCAAACTATTTACACAATTTTGTGCCCTGATTTTCTACTTGCCAGTACCCTAAAGATGTGATTTTTATGACTGCATGAATCCCCAAGTTTGAACAGAGTACATTACCCATAAATATAAATCATCCTGCAGCACCCATCCGGATCACATAACTTTGTCTACAACCATGACTAATTCCAGAGATAACCAATGTGACCCGCTTCACCAGTCAGAGCAAGAATTGGGTCTTATTTTCTTTTTTGCAGTTATTTCCATCCAACCCACTGGCTTTTATTAGCATGTGGCCTCCCATCTCCCTCTTGTTGATAAAGGACTCTGCAGCTACTTTGTCCAAAGGACTTAGCCAGTACCGGAGAGAGGTTCTCATATGTAATATGCCGACTTCTGTGCTGCTATTGTTTGTATTGTTCTCCTCCAAAATGTTTAATGAATTCTAACCCTTTTATGTATGGTTGCATATATGAGCAGTTGATGGTCTGTTTCACAGTCTGCCCATGGCCTTGTTTTGACTGATGATGTAGAGCTTTTCCACTGTCTCTTTTCACAGATGTAGTTACTTTGATTTTTTTTTTTTTTAAACCAAAAGAAATGGTCTATGTTTAACCATTGCAAGAGGTAGTATATAAACAAGAGTGAATGATGCTGAAGGAAAAATTCCAAGGTGCACTGAGGCATTGGCAAAGAACAAGGCACTAGGAATTGATGGAATACAAGTGGAAATCTTACAACAAACTGATGCAGCACCAGAGGTACTCATTCATCTATGCCAAGAAATTTGGAAGACAGCTACCTGGCCAACTGATTAGAAGAGATCCATATTTGTGCCCATTCCAAACAGAGACAACTCAATAGACTGTGGAAGCCACTGGACAATATCTTTAATATTGCATGCAAGTAAAATTTTGCTAAAAATAATTTTTAAATGGCTGCAACAGTACAATGATACAGAACTGCCAGATGTTCATGCTAGATTCAGATGAGATCATAGAACAAGGGGGATATCATTGCTGACATCAGATGGATCTTGGCTGAAAGCAGAGAATACCATAAGGATGTTTAGTTGTGCTTTATTGACTACGCAAAGATTGTGTGGCTCATGACAAGCTATGGACAATATTGTGGAGAGTGAGTATACACTTGTGCTTATGAGGATCCCCTACATAAGCCAAGAAGCAGTTTGAAAAGACCAAGAGAATATTGAATGGTTTAAAATTAGGGAAGGTGTGTGTCACGGTTGTATTCTTTTCACTATATTATTTCACTCTGTATGCTGAGCAAATAAGGAGCTCTGGTAGCATAGTGGTTACGAATCGGGCTGCGAGCCACAAGGTCAGCAGTTCAAAACTACCAGCTGTTCCACGGGAGAAAGATGAGGCTTTCTGCTCCTGTAAAGATTTACAGCCTTGGATACCCTGTACAGGGTCGCTAAGAGTCAGAACCAAATCCACGGCACATAACAACAACAACATGCTGAGCAAATAATTTGAGAAACTGGATTATATAAAGAAAAACATGGCATCAGGGTTGGAGGAAGACTCATTAACAATTTGTGATATGCAGTTGATACAACCTTGCTCACTGAAAGTGAAGATGACTTAAAATATTTATTGATGAAGATCAAAGACTCTGCCTTTGGTATGGGTTGCACTTCAATATAAAGAAAACAAAAATCCTCACCACTGGACCAATAAATAAAACCCATATCAATGGAGAAAAGATGGAAGTTGTACAAGACTCCATTTTTCTCTGATCAACCATCAACATTCTTGGAAGCAGCAGTTTAGAAATCAAATGACATGTTGCATAATCAATTTTGTTGCACAAAACCTCTTTAAAGTGTTGAAGAGCAAAGATGTCAGTGTGACTGACCCAATCCATGATATTTTCATAGCATGTATGTGAAAGTTGTACAATGAATAAGGAGTACCATAGAAGAATTGATGCATTTGAGTTATGATATTGGAGAATATTAAAAGTACCATGGACTGCCAAAAGAGCAAACAAATCTGTGTTGGAAGAAGTACAGCCAGAATGCTCCTTAGAAGCCAGGATGGCCAGTA